TTATACAAATTTCAAAGCTGGAGTGGGAGATGGTAGGCCAGCTCCAGCATGGTCCCTCATATTACAACATTTGTGAGGCAGCATGGTGAAATCAGGCGCTCGTCAAAATAGTGAAATTGAAGAAACTAGCATTTCCCTGCCAGATTGGCAGTTTTTATTGAATTTCTATTTTTTGGCTTTACACCAATGTTATCCAATTAAGAACACACTTCTGGGTGGATTTTACTGAAAAATGTTGATTAAAGACGCAAATAATGTAAGTTTTCAGTTTTCATGGACTATCAAGCTATGGAAATAATTAGACTTTGGCGGCCATTTTCTTGCTAATTCTACCTTTGAAACCAGGCAACCCAACCTTCTTCAATCTCAAATATCTCAACTTCTATTCAAGATAGATGGGTATTTTTTTTGGACAGATAGCAAGGCAACTGAACAAGCTTTATGATTATACCAATAATTCCACATGCACAAAAGTTGATGAGTGCCTGTTTCCACCGCGTCGTGACATATTTGTTTTCTGGCATCTGTGTTGTACATTATCACATGAAAATTGGAAAAGTAATTTGGCACCATGCACTGCACCTTCTTAACCTGGAGATACAAATTTTCAGTGTAGCAGAAAGCCTACCCTCTCTGAAATAAGTTTGTGGAAGACACAGAAATCTGTCGTTCTTACTCCAACAGGAACTGTGTCATTTTTACCACTATAAAAGTCTTTTTGTTTGAATGTGAGAAAGTGGAAGCGCATCCACTCGATAACAACTGTTTAGCACTGGTAGAAAGCAAGACAGTCAGAAACAAAAGAGGAGTAGTTTAAGACCTATCCGTGGTACTATCCAACTACCTGATTGTTCGAATTGAAGGAAAGCACATTGACTCTGTAGTAGTCATTTGGTGTTAGGGAAAGAGAGATGGAGAAGAACAGAGGAGGGATAGTTTAAAAGATTAAATTGCCAGTTATGCCTTCCAGACAATCTTTAAAAAAAAAAGATTTGTATTCACCTTTGTATTCCATAATCGTACTCTTAGCTCATGTTATGTACATGGTGATGTGGCTAATGTGAGAGAGGAAAAAAAATCAATTGTTGATGATCATGTATGCTTTCAAATGGCTAGTGTGTGTAAGTGTGGTGGTGTGATGTGCATTCATATTTTGCGCTGCAGTGATGCTTAATGGTAGGTTGTTGCAGGATGTAATTGGTAAGGCTTTCTTCTTTTATTTCACAGCCTTGTTTCTGTCTATTTTTCTTCCTTTATCCTTGCACGATATGACTGTTATTGTATCAGTGAACGTCTCTTTTCTGAATGAAAGAAGACAAACTGATGCGTAATGTCTTTTTCTGATTAGACTCCAGAACATTTGTTTTGTTTGTTGAAGGTGTGTTATTGATACTGAGCCCTAAGTACAACCCTGGTTTTTTTTGTTTTTTCTTCTTCAGATCTGACACAGAGGAGACCACTCTCACTAGAACTCGCAATAATTTACTGGACAGCGACGAGGAAACCTTCCGGTAGTGGACATCCTCGATATGCGAGTTGGATGTGTCTGTGTGTATGTGTTCTTCTGTTACTCTGCTGTTGTTGGACACAAGTGTGTATGATGTTGTGTGTGTGTGTTTGTGTGCGTTGCATGCCTTCCATGCTGCTGTGTCAGAGCTGAGTCGTGTGTTGGAGGAGACTGTGTGCTTCACTATTGATGTGTTTTGGGAGAGACAAGGATCATGGTTAGTGCCAATGATGTGACTTCATCAAAGACGAAATCTTTTATTCACATGCCTCATAGTCTTTACTAGGGAAGACACACACACCCTCCCCCGCGAGTATTTTTTGTTCTCTAACTTAAGAGTTTCAGTTTTGAATGATGTCCTGGCTCAAGATTTTGACATGTTGGGTCATGTGCACACTGTGTTAGTGAACACATCCTGTCCGAGGGTGGCACTTAGAAAAGTGACTAGGGTTGCAGGGTTGAATGTTTACCAGAGTATGTAAGGCTTTTCTTGAAGAGTAATGTTTATATTGATATACCATTCAATCCCCAGGTAAAGATATTCACTGAAAGTGCTACAGAGTATTAGAAATTTTCCTTTAGAAGTAACAGTTTGTTAAACATCACTGAATCCCTCAGTCATGACTTTCATTTGCTCTCTAGGTAAGTGCTTTTCTATACAGCAGATGGCTTGAGCTGTCTTTGAAAACCCATGTCTAAATTGAGGGATAAGGTCCAAAACTTTTTAAAAAAAATTTTTTCCTTATTACTACCGGATTCCAGTAGATCTACATGTGCACTTGTTGAAGCAAAACAAAAATTTGTTTTAATGTTTTAACTTTGGAAGTTTTTTGGGGGTATTTAAAGTTTGCTTACATGAACATATGAAATGATCAAATTGGCATGCAAGCAAGCTGATAGGCTACATTGTTTTGGTATGAAGCTGAAACTATTGTGCATCAGAAATAGTTGATGTATTAAAGAAATTTTGCAGAATACGAGGTTTATTAGAAAGTTCAAATATATATACAGAAAGTTTAAACGGCTATTATAAGATTAGGTCCATTGCTCCCCTTTCATTTTTCAGTATTTTCCTTAGTTTTTATGTTGCCCATCATGTTTGTTTGTTTTTTTAAAACAACAGAAGTTTTATTAGTTGTTTCACTTTGCAGAGTATCGTTTAAATCAAGATACTGTGTTAATGATTATGATAATTGCATTTACACAGGGCATATTCATTCTATTACAGCATGCTCTATGCACTTTATAACTATTATTACTCCAGCAGACCCTAAAACACTCAGAAACATTCTCGGCTTACTATGAACATGGCGTCTGAATTGTCTAATGTATATCATTGTCAACCTGTTGATATTGGTTCAATGAATACATAATGTGGTAGTAGTATGCATAATATTAAGTTATTTTGGTTTAATTGTGCTCATATGTCCTTATGCAGTTACGAGCGCCGTAAAACCCTCTACTAATGATAATGGTTTGATGATAGCATCAACAAATTGTTTTGCTGTAAACTGACAAAATGCCTTCTTTTTTTTTCATTTTGGCGCCAAGTTTTTAAACATTTGTTAAATCGAAAGCGTGGTCAGCTACCCTACTTATGTTTTAAAAAATCAAAGTGAAACAGATTAGTTTTTTAATAAATAAGAATTCAGATTTCAGAAGAACGCTATTTTTTAATGGTTATGGGGACAAAAGGCGTCTTTATCTCAAAACTGCTGTGAATTTTTTTTGAAAAGGCGTTTTGTCAGCTTACAGCAGTGTAGGTCATTGAAGTTGTTCTGAGACCATGAATGGGCTGTGCCAACTTTTTCGTGCAATAAGAGGTGTAAGTAGTGATGTTTTATAGCTGAGTGATATCCATGTCAGCTCCTTGGCCATGCTCTTGTGATGTTTGGGGGGTTTTTTCTCTTGATATTTCTACATTTTACATACTTGCTTTATAAGTATAAGATACAATAACTATTTACTATACCATGTTTTTCATTCCCACTAAGAATCAGTACCATTGTTCCCATCACACTTGTTCTGTTAAAGTGGTTGGGGGGGGGGGGGGGGCAGTTTGTAGAAAGTACAGGTACAGTTACGCGCAGATAACACAATTGCAGGAAACTCGAAATCATGAAGAATAGGTAGTACAATTTTCCATTCCCCAACTGATTTCTCATAATTTTTGGTAATCTTTTAGTCAGAATTATGGATATGTCAAATGCATTTGTGTCATGACGCGGTGGGATCAGGTGCTCGTCAATTTTTGGGCGTGTGGAGTTATTGGTATCATCTAAAAGCTTGTTCATTCGTCTATCTTTCAATAAAAAAATCTCCGTCTTTCTTGAAATGGAAGTCGAGATATTTGCTATTGAAGGAGGTAAAATTGGTGAGAAAATGGGCGCCAAAGTTTGGTGAATTACATAGCTTTGAGAGTGCTTAGAACCTGAAAATGTACATCTTGTGTGCCTTTAATCAATGTTTTTCAGTAAAATCCATGCAGAAATGTGTTTTTAAATTGACATAAAAAGTGTTGAGCCAAAAAGCAAAGACTTGATTAAAATTATCCAAACGCGGAAAAATACCAGTATCTTCAATTTCATTATTTTGACGAGCGCCTGGTTTTACTGCAATGTCTCACATTTATCAGTTCCTGAAATGCACAAGTTATCCATGCCCGACTGTAGATTGTTTGATGAGAGTGAAAGCAATTAGCTTTCTTATTTTGGTCTTCTTGACAGTAGAGTAGCGGGCACTACTGTTTGCTAAATGAAACAATAAAAATGCTGCTTGACTTGAAGTGAATTTTAAAAGATCTAAGTCATCAATATTGTGTTCTTGTTTTGTTTTTTGTTGTTGTTTTTTTGAGTGGGAGGGTGGGATTGTTTTGTTGGTTCTTTTTTAAAAACACATCTTCTGTACATTTCGGGCGAGCTGATACATGCAGAAATATAGTGTTGTTCATGCATGCAAAGCTGCTTTTTCCCTGAGTTGTTCCCTAGCTTCTTGTTTGTGAGAATTTTCTGTTGATGAGCACATGGATTAACCATTTTTTCTTTGTTTGTCTTTACTTTTAGTTTTGGTTCTAAACGTTTTTTGAAAATGAGTTCTATCTGTGTTGCTTCATTTAAATGGATCTGCATAGAATAGAGATAAACGAGGTACTTTTCCAGAAATTTTTAATTTTAAAAAAATGGTTGTTCTCTAACAACCAAAGTGTGAGCTTCGCTGTTCACAGGTTCACACTCACAACTAAAGGAAAACTGCTGTGGTATCAGTGGTATTTTTGTCCCCAATATTCAATAATATTTCACAAATTGGAACGACACTTTTTTTTGTCTTTATAATTTTTTATCATATTTCCATCTCTACATTCCGGGATCTTTAATGTACTCCACTGATTTTTTCGTCTTTTGCCTTCTTCTGGATTACTTTTCTGTGTCACAAAAATAATCAGCTTTATATTGTCATCCAAGAGAAAATTTGATTAAAGGAGTGTCAATGTTGGAGCCATGATGTAAAATAAAAGGATGGTTTGTAAGGCAGTGACACTTTTCCACTTTAAGGTTCAAAAGAGAATATGTACCGTATATATGGTTTGGTAACATTTCTAGGTGACAACGCATTTTTGGGTTTTGTGTTTTGTTTTATGACCTGGAAGAAAAACATAAGTTTTTGTTAAAATCCTTTGACAGTTTTATGTGCAATGCATGCTTGTATTGCACAAATATTTTTTTATCCTCCTTTTGTTTTACTTCAAAGATTTTGTTTGTTCCATTATTATAATTTTGTGTTACCTAGAGCTCTATGTATATAATATGTTTCTGACTTAGAAGAGCAATATGGCTTGTAATAAAAAAAAGTTGTGAATTGGATTCCGGGCCGTGTCGGCTAGAAGTAGTAGAATGTTGTATCCTTAGAAAAAATAGTTTACCTTATTTTCCTCAGTTTACCCCCCTGCAAATGGGTGTTTAGAAATCAGCAGAGTCAGAATATTATTAATATGTTAATGTTACTGGTATGAGCCTAAGAAGCTGCATCGGTGTATGTCCACTGAGGGACCAAAATAGTGACTTTGGATGAGCAAGCGAGTTATCCTGAAGTCGTATAAGCCTTCAGGGAGGTATATATGACAAGAAATAAACACTTTCACTCTTTTAAACTATACGTTGTCATAGGTCCATAGCTTTCTGTAAATAGATATTTAAATTTTTTAAAATTTATACAGTCAAATCTGTCCTAGACGACAATCCATAGTTGAGGTGAAAAGTGGTCATCTTAGACAGATGTCCCTTTTACACAAATGCAAGGTTGGAAATGTTTATTTTTACAGGCAATTGTCTTGGATAGGTGGTCGCTAGAGCAGGTTTGACTGTTATCTCATGACCGTTTGAGTTCCTTTGCCTTTAGCTCATCATATTTTGTGTGACGCATTGTTGTAGAGTGACCTGGCCAGTAAGTGATATTTACTTTTTGTACCATTTCTTCTTTCTGTCCCTTCTTTCTTTTTTTTTGTTGCTGACCTAGTGCCAAGTTGAAATCTTGTGAACGCTGAGACCAAAAAGTATTGCTTGTTTCCTATTGAGTTTTTTGTTTGAATGACAGTTGTTGTTACCTTTCTACTGTCAACGTCATTTAATATTGTTGCCTGGAAAATTAGGGTCAAATTAGGCTAAAACAGCACCTGGACATGGATGGCTGGTGCCTCTATAGGCTAAATAAATCATTGATGGTCTGGTCTGTCAAAATGTTGAGAAAAAAATGAAAATCGAGTATATTGTAGAATTTGACATGGCGCATCTATTGATCCGTGTCTCATTCCCCTTCTTAAGATAATGAAGAATTCAGACAAATTAAATATATTGTTTTGACATAATGTTCTGCTCGAATTAAAACTAAATTTTTACTTTTCCTGAAAACCTCATATTCTGACATATGACATTGATGAACGATCGGGATGATGTTCTTGACATCACCTTGTCTTTCTTTTACGTTCATAGTCTAGAAAGATTCAAAATTTTTCAATGTCTATGTGATGCCTTTAGAAGGGAACATTCCTGTCTTCATATACTTCATTTTCAAAATATGATAGGAAATGTGATAAGTTTGGTTATTGTAACCTCAGCAAGATGTATGTGAGTATTTGGAGTTTGTTTGGGGTTGTTTGTTTGTTTTTTTTGCTTTGAATGAGTGATTGACTTTCTACGCACAATTTTTTTTTTAGATGAAGACGATTGGTAATCCTAGTGCAGAGATGTTTGACTTTTCATCATGTATGGAACATTCCAATCAGTTGTCGGAGTGGTTTGATCTCTTTTTGAACAAAGTTTTCTTAAACAATTATAATATTGTGATGTGATGACACAAAGCTATTAATTTGCAAATAAATTGTCTCAGTCTCATGACGTATTCATATTTATATATATATATATTTCTCCATCCAATTTGTGAAAAAGATGCTCTTCTACTTTTAGCTTTTATAATGGATAAGCTCAAAACTGCCACAATATTTTAGAGTCTGTTGGAGGATTTTGCGAACTGAAAAAAAGTCATTAAAAAGCAGCTGGTGTTAATTAATATTTGATACAGATGCATAAATGTCAGACTTGAGCAGTTATTTATCCTCAGTTTTTTATCTCGAAATTTAAACATTCAAAACTGTTTTATGCTTGTTCCCTTGTTTAACTAAGTTCCAATCCAATGAGTTCTATATATACATTTATGGTTTTATTCAATATACCTCATTTTGGTATCCTTTGTAAATATAGTGATTAGAGAACAAGAAAACTGCAAGATTTCACAACAAAGTCATTCAATCATTTTTGCTAATCATCAGATTCTGTGTTTGTGTTACCCCAAAAAGTTTGTTGGGACTGGATTAGGTGAAATTGAGGGACAGGAGCGATGGGACAGGTTGGTTTTTTTTTTTTTTTTTTTTTTTTTTTTTTTTTTTTGCTCGTTTTTGTTATGGGTTTTTTGGGGTAAGCAGACATGTTGAAGAGCATTTATATCATGTTTTTGTTGGATACAGACTGCATTGAAATTTTCTTCTTTTTTTTTTCAAATCTGCATTATCTCTAGGTTCCTCTGATTTTCTGTTTTATGTCACGTTTATATGCATGTCACACTTTTTTTAACCCTCGGAACTTGTATTTTAGATTGGTTGTGTAATCTGTAGCGATTACTTTCATGAGTGGTGTAAATTGTAATGTGTGCTGATGATTTAAGGGACCATATAAGTATGCCCTGCTCAGGTTAAAGATATTGCCTACACATGCATGCATACACGCACTTGCATTCACATACACACAAACTAACACACACATGCAGACTCACACACACATGATATATTTTAAAGGTATGTGCACATTCTATTGTTGTTGACGTTGAAGCGTTCTTCTATGTTGACCAGGAAGCCTCCATGATCGAGGTCCCCCCCCCCCCCCTCTCCATGTTACAAAAGTATTGTCTGTTCTGAAGGCTTTCAATGCCTTGTTTGTTTGCTTCTTTCTCTTGTCTTACTTGAGCAATACTTTTGTGATGTGATATACATAAAGTAAATGCGATAAACTATGAAATCCACTCCACATGATAATCAATTTTTTAAAATGATTTTATTCTTCTTTTTTAAAAAAATCAATTTGTTAAAAGTTTACATGTGTACTCAGTTGTGTTTTTTTTTACTTATGTCCTGTTTCTATATAATTTTTCAATCTCCTGCATAACACTAGCAGTGTTGATCTAATCTTTATGACTAGCAACTGCTTGAAATGGGTTGAAATCGAAACAATCAGCCCTGTGAAAAAGTTTAACTTTGGATTCTTTTTGTATACTGTATACATTCATTATATTCATTGCTTTATTATTTTCACTTGTTTGTATATATATTTAATGCAGAGATGTGTTGAAGAAGGTGTGTGCGTTGGGCTGGGGGTGGAGGAGGTGTTCACTTTTCCAGCAACAATTTAATTAAACTAAAACGATTCTGACTTTATATGGGCCCATGGTGCATAGTGGGTGGTTTTTTATGTGTTTTTTTTTATTCATACTTTTCATAGGGCTTTTAGAGATCATAGTTTAAGATTTGGTCTTATGAGTCTATAGGTAAAGATATTTGTAGGTGAGTTACGTTTGCAAGAACATGTATAGTCAAAATTGTCCAAGACGCCCACCCATTGTTGAGGACAAACATGGTTGTCTTAGACAGGTGGACGTCTTGGACGATGTCATGAATAATATAATATATGTGTAACGACGTCGTAGAATCAGGCGCTCGTCAATTTTTTGGCATAGGGGGTTATTGGTATCTCCTTAAAGCTTGTTCATTTGTCTTGTTTTCGCTGAAAAAACAACCCATCTATCTTCAATAGAAGTGGAGATATTTTGGATTGAAGGAGGTGGGTTTCACCTGGTTTCGGATGTAAAACTAGCGAGCAAATGGCCGCCAAAGTTTGGTGAATTCCAAAGCTGGAGGATCCATGGAAACTGTAAATTTACTTTTTTAGTGCCATTAATCTACGCTTTTCTGTAAAATCCACACAAGAATTTGTTTTTAAATGTACATGTATATAAGGTGTGAAGCCAAAAAACAAAAATTTCAATAAAAATTGCCAAGTGGGAAGAAAAATGCTGTTTTCTTCCCTTTCAATATTTTGACGAGCGCCTGGTTTCACCACGATGCCTCACATTATAAAGAAGAAACTCAAGATTTGATGAGGGAATGTGGAAGGTACTTGTTTGTAGCTGTACAGGTGATTGTCGTTTACAGGTGGCCATTAGTACATGTGCAGGTCTGACTGTACTGTGCATTACTCTGTTATGGGCTTGGCTTATGTCTGGGGAATGTGTTGCAAACTGCTTACTCAGCATTTCTTTCTCCTGGTTTTTATCTGTTGTTAAATGCCACTTCTTCTAATATTTCTTGCTATTGTGCAAATAAATAATTTGGGGGGGGGTTACCTTTTTGTATAAATTGATGAGACTGTTGGTTGTTAGCAAAGATCTGTGGACACTGAGAGAGGGATCTGTGACTTCGTTGTTGTCTAAGACGTGCTAAACTTGTACTCTTTTCACTTTTTTCTTTTCTTCTCATTCTGATCATTTTACTGAAAAGTGTATGCTGTGTTAGCCTATACCCCACTCTACCAGGGTTTGCTCTGACACTGCAGGGTGAAAAAACAGCTGGCTTTTGATACAATCTCCGTTGTGTTGGTGGGGATGTGAAGTATTCAGCAGGTGGTTGGCAGGTGCTCTGGTGTGGTTTGCTTCTTCTTTCTTATCAAACATCTATTCTCGTTATCTTTCCTCCTTTCTTTTTTTGTGTTTGTTACTCTCATGTTACTCCTCTAATTAGTCGAATCTTCTGCATTTATATGACCTTATTGTTTTGCAAGTGCAGTAAAACTCTTACTAAAAATTTTTAAAGAAACATTTACAATCTGTGGCATGCATATTTTGTGTAGTGGTAGAATACCTCTTGTGAGTGTCCACTCTCAGATGAGCATAAACATGAGGTGCGGGCGGTTGGTGGGTGCTGTGGTGTGGTTTGGTCCTTCTTTCCGATCTAATATCTATCATTTTTGTTTTCCCTTCTTCTTTTTTATGTTTGTTACTCTCTTGTAACACCTCTAATCGTCTGGCACTCATATGACCTTATGGAGTTGCGAGCGCCGTAAAACTTCTACTAAAACTAAAACATGAGGTGCAACTCTTGGTGTAGGCTACTCCTGGGTTTTTCATCTCTCCCCTCTATACTCTATTTGTCTTTTTCTCTTCTCTTACTCTTACTGTTGGGCCCAGTGGTTTGCCTTTGAAATGACTTGTTTGTGTGACATCATGTCAGGTAGGGTGTTTTACTTGTACAAACACGGAAGAAGAGTTGCCCAAACTTTATAGATTTTTTAATTTTTTTTAACGGAAAGCCAAAGCATTATTATTATAATTATATTTTTGTCCTCTCAGTTTTCACCGCTTTTTTGTCGTATTGGGCGGATGGAAGTCGGAGGGTACGTCAGATAACTTTTCGTCCTGCTTCACCCGTTACTTGTCCATTGTTTGTTTTTATTTATGTCTCTATCACTTGAGTCATGCATTTCATTTTAAGTTCAGATACAGTGGAGTTCAATTAAATCAAACATGGCCAATCTGAAAGAAATGAAAAGAGCAGGTTGATATAATTTTCATCTCGCATTTATAATGGTATAAAGTAGAAAGCTAGTGAGCTTTTCTTATTTATACTCCTCAGCACAAACTGAAAAATCTGTTTCTGTTTTTTTGCTTGATTTTCTTTTTATTTATCCCATCCTTTCTTAAAATCTTTCAGGGTTGTTTTTGCTCTCTAATCAACCACACCAAAAGCATTTCTTTTAAAACAATTTTCGATGTGTTATTATGTTATCAGACTCGCATCTCAGACGGATTTTAAAATGTTATAGTTATAAATGTATTTATTCTAATTTATTCACATGAAGCTAATTCGTGAGCTGTCTGGATGATGATCTGATTTCTGCAAGTTTACAGGTTGTGGGCAGGGTAATGAATGTATCGTCGCCTTTAGAAGACTTGATTTATTTCGTTAAAGAAGTTATTTTTACTTTTCTCATTTTACTTTGCAGACCCCGGTTTGGATAGATTATTATATTATTATTAGGCTTGGATCTATATATATATATATATATATATAATTTATATCAGTTGGTTGTGCAGTAAGACTTCAAAAATTTGTTTCTTGTTTTCAGATATTATATTTGCATGGGTTGTTAA